AGAGCCTTCCTCTGAGTCTTCACTCAGGATGGACATGACACCATTCCAAATTGTGAGTAGATCCAGATGGTGTGAGAGATGAAGAAAGATGAAGAAGGTGTGGAAACTGTAGTTGTTGTGGCCAGCATGGAGTGATGAGGATGTATTTCACCCTGTCTCTGTGAATGTTGGGGACCACCCTGGTAATGAGTGGGAATGGGGGAAAGGTGTACCCTGAGGAGTTCAGATTAAGATGGTCTCCTGGACAGGGTCTTGAGCAAATGATCTGGCAATGGATGTAAAGAGATTAGGTGAAGAGGTCAATCTTTGGGTGCCCCCACTGTTCTAGCACAAGGCAAAGAGCATCAGAATGGAGATGCCACTCTTGGCGTGATGCTGGTGTTCTGCTGAGGGTATCCATGAGGGTATTCTATTCTCTTGGGAGGTATACTGCCATTATGGTGATAGATCTGAGGACACACCAAACCCAGTGGTGGAGAGTGAGATGGAGGAGGGTACAGGATTTTGTCCCTCCTTGTTTGTTGAGCTAGTACATCAAGGTTGTACTGTCCACAATGAGCTGGACAACCTTCCTTCCAAGGAGCAGTTCGAATGACTTGAATGACTTTTCAACCTCCTATCTACAGGCAGAGAAAAAGGTCTGGAGTATCCAACAGTCCTTCAGCTGCCCTCCCAGGAAGCATAACATTTCTTTCTTAAATCATCAAATGCATTTAAAACATTTACAATGTGTTCTCTTATTTCAAAAAGCCACCAAAGTGGCTTAGAAACATACATCAATATCATCACTATGAATAATGCTTAATGGTCAGTTGCATTCGTACTGGTCAAACAAAGTTTTATAAGAATAACAGTAATCCTAAACTGCCACTAAATTTTAGTTACCAAATGGACAGTTTCTATGGGATTATTATTATTATTCCCACCTTTTTTCCAGATCAGGACTTAAAGCAGCTTACAATTAAAAAAGAAATTGTTCAAAATCCATAAAATACAAGATTAAATAATCAACAAATTAAAACCAGGTTAAAACATGCATCAATGAATGTGTGGGCATACACATGTACCAACACAATAATTAACAATAGCCAGAGTACTGTGTACGTTGGGCCTTATATAGACATTCATCAAAAGCCAGTCATAATACAAAAGTCTTCACTTATTTGTGAAAAGAAAGTAAGGAGGATACCAGTCTCACTTCTCTGGGAGGGGAGTTCTAGAGCCTGGGGGCAGACACTGAGAAAGACCTCTCCTGTTCTCCCACCAGATGTACCTGTGAGTATGGTGGGACAAAGAGATCTCCTCAGCAGATCTCAGAACACAGGCTGGTTTGTAAGTAAGAATATGGTCCTTCAAATAACCTGGACCTCACCAGGTAGTGCCAGTGGTGTCACTAGGGGATGCGGGGGGTTCAGACCAGGTGACACCCAAAGGGAGAGGTGACACCACTGCTCCTCAAACACCTACCTTTGGCAGAAATGGGCTATGGCATTCATCTGTTTCACTTTAAAATGCTTTAAGATATGGTGGGAATGGGATAAAGCTCAGTAGGAGGAGAAAGGAGAGGCCCATAATTTTTTTAAATTAAAATTTCAATTTTCAAAATTTTGATTTTTTTAAAAAGACTGTTTTTGATTTTATTTTTTGTTCTTTTTAAATTTTCTTTTAAAACATCACATTTTAATCAAATCTTCTTTATGTATATGTAAATACATTTAGTGTGCATATGATATTGTAATTTGAAGGTATACTTTTAATTTTGCTAGTTGTTTATGTCACAACTATTAGAATTACATTCAGTGGTATTTGGGAATTACGATTTATGAGCAACAGTGCAAAACAGCATTACTAAGGATTCTGTATGATGTGAAATAGGAGGTCAGTGTGAGGTAACACTGTGCCCAGAAACAGACCAGCAGCCAGTGGAACTGTTCCAACATGGGAATTGCGTGATCCTTGTAGCCAGCACCAATTAGCAATATGGCTGGTACTTTTTGGAAGTTTTCAAACATTCTTCAAAGTCATCCCCATATAGAGCACATTACAGTATTCCAACCAGGTTGTAATTAAGATATGTGTCGCCATTGCCAGATTTGACATCTCAAGGAATGTAAAAGACCCTGACCACACAAAACACCTATGTTGGCTGACTTGCTGCAGCTGCAACAGTGACACAAAAGAAATTTATATTTCCTGCCTCTATTGCCACAGGGGGAAAAGGCACCAGGGAGAAAATAAATCACCACAGGAAAAGGCCTTGTTCCATGTTGATATCCAGAGTAAAGGTCACCTGGAAGTAGTGGCATTACTAGCGGACCACACCAGGTGACACCCCAGAAGAGGGGTGACACCCGGCTGAGCAGCACTCCCACACCTCCCTGCTGTGTACCATGAGAGGCCTGGGGCACCCTCTTCTCCCAGCCTGGCGTGAGTTTACTTGGGTGTAAAGCCATGCCAGGCAGGGAAAGGGAGACCCGGGGCACCTCTTTCTGTCATGGGCCAGGATCTGCAGGACTGGGACCTGGAGGAAGGCTGAGGAAGGAACACAGGCAAGTCTTCTAGGCAGGGAACAGCCTGCAGCTCTCCCTGTTGCAGAGCAGCCAGCTCTCCCTGCTGGAGAACCGCAGCCAGCTCATCCTGTCCAAGTGCAGACTCAGCCAGCAGGACAAGAGCAAGACTCACTTACTGATGAGGCAGAGGACACAGCTGGTGTCTTAAGTCCTCATTCAAGGAGGAGAGACAAAAGAATAAAACAAAGGATACAACAAAGACCCTCTGCCAGGCTGCAGGCCAAGCAGCAACAAGCCAGCTCTAATTAGAACCAGGAGATGTCAGGCAATTTAAGAGCTGAGTTTGTGTAAGGAAAGTGCTGGAAAAAACAGCATTTCTGTTCTTGATGCCTGTTTCCAGACTCCTGCATTTCCTACTTTGGACTTCCTGGCTACTTCGATTCTTGGACTGTATTCCTGTTGCCTCCCTTGACTCGGAACTGCTTGACCAGTGACTTTCTCTTAACAGACTCTCACAGGCAAGGATGTTTTGTAGCTACTCGTAATTCACTGTCTCTGCTTGCCTTATCAATCGGTACCTTATTTTCCTGCGTATAAGACTACTTTTTAACCTGCAAAATCTGTGGTTAAAGTGGGGGGGTCGTCTTATACGCCGGGTATAAGGATAAGGAGGATAGAGGTGCTAAAACTCTATATTTTGACTGGGAAAATGGGGGGTCGTCTTATACGCCGGGTCGTCTTATACGCCGGGTCGTCTTATACACCGGAAAATACGGTAGTTTCCTCCCAGCCAGCCTGTGTGAACCAAGAGCTTTCTCTCTGTCCGTTGTGGTTTTACTTAGGTGTAAAGCTGCACTAGGCAGGGAAAGAGAGGCCCAGGGCACCCCTACCTCCCTGTCCAGTGTGGGCTTGCTCGGGTGTAAAGCTGCACTGAGCATGACCTTTTGGCTCGCCACCTGAAGCCTTGCACCCAAGCCCCCCCCCCATACACACCAGGTGACACCCCAGTGTGGGAAACCACTGCCTGGAAGACAGACTACAATAAAAGTATCAGTGCACTGGCAAGTTCCCTAAAATATTCTGCTCCTGAACCTAGAAATTTACAGATAAAATTCAGTAGTTTGAATTGTTCCTGGAACCAAACTGAAAGACACAAGTTGCTTACCAGTCAGCATTAGCAACATGAGAACTTGTTTCAGACAATTTAAACCAAACAGAACTAGGAAACAGGAAAAATAACCAGTTTAGTAATAGGTGGACTGTGATTTCTTCAAAATTACACCACCAATTAAATTGAATTATACCCTTCAGTTTCATATGTGCATAGAAGGCTTTCATAAGTTTGATACCAAATTCTTAAGCCAACTTTGGTTTTTAAAAATGCTGGGAAAAAGAGTCTTCTGCAGAGATAATGAAGGGGGGCAAAAGGTTATACTGAAAAAAGAAAAGAAGCAAAAAGGTAACTACACTGATGAATTTGCAAGCAGTTGCACAACATGGTTATTTGACCAGTCTGCACTTGAAACAAGATGAAAAGACAAAATTTTGACATAACGCTAAACAAGTTCAAAGGGTTTGGTGTTCCAAATATGAGGCATTAAATTATATAAATATGTATTATTAGAAATTGAGGAAAGTAGGATTGTAGGGTGTCCCCTATTACAAGTGATGTCCCTTATTTGAGTGCAAGAAAGCTTGCCTCTTATAGTACTGGCAGGTATCTCTTATGGTAAGGATGTCCCCTATTTTAGGGTTAGAAAACTGTTCCTTTCATATAGATTGAACAAGATGCCACAAAATCCTATAGTTTGATATGTGGGCTGGTCATAAAAGCAAAAATGTGTGCATAATGTAATTTCTGAATGTGGACAAATGTTAATTTTACAGAGAAATATGTGGCTAAGTTAATGGAAATCAATACTTTCATTCAGCACTTAGGGGGAAGTTTAGGGAGAAGACAAACTTCTTAATAGTTGCTTCCTCACTGTCAACTCTGCATGTCATGAATTTCAATTATCTCTAACTGCTATTTTTGAAAACCTAGCAACTCTAGAGGAAAGACATGTCACTTTAAGAATGTTTGAATCATATTAATCAGAATTGCCTGTAAGCATTTAACGGATTCCATAATAAAATATTAAATGCTAACAGAAGTTGAAAAATTCAAAAACTATAACACCAGACTGTGGGGCATTTTGAGAAGGGAGAATATTTACAGAATGCATGCACTCTTTCACCTCTTCTATGTAAATTATCTCAGCAATATTTTACTATAATAGAGCACACTACAAGTCTTGTGCTGTTTTGTTCCCTCTTCCCAATTTATTTTGTAGTTGTTGTGTGCCTTCAACTTCTTTTTGACTTATGGCAACCCTAAGAAGACCCCATTATGGGGTTTTCTTGGCAATATTTGTTCAGAGGAGGCTTGCCATTTTCTAGCCCTGAGGCTGAGAGCATGGGACTTGCCCAAGGTCATTCAGTGGCTTTCATGGTCAAGCTGGGAATTGAACCCTGGTCTCTAGAGTTGTAGTCCAATGCTCAAACCACTATGCTGTGCTGGACACCAATTTATATACCAGGAAAAGGGGTTGAAAAGGGATTACATACACCTC